CTTGTCATTCGCCTTTTCTGACGAGTTATTGGCCCTTTCCGGGACCACCGCTACGAAACATCTACGAATCATTTTCTTTAGAAGCAAAACTTGCTGCCGAAAAAAACAATGGAGAAAGGCGGATCGACTGAAAAAACGGCGTGCTCAGATACAGGCTCGACTCGATAGGAAAGTATCAAACTAAAATCTTCTCCTCGGATTGTCTACATACCATCAACAGTAAACCTCAAACGGCCACATTTTTTGATCATTTCATCTTTATACCGAAGACTTTCTCTGCAAGAACGTTCGCATCTCTAATTAGAAGTGGGCTTTCTGTTTAACTTCATTCACTCCTAGGGTCTTCCAGCCGACGAGAAAATCGGAAAAACTAACGCCGAACGTCTCCATAAACAGACCTACTCGATTGTTGTTGAGAGCCACCTTCTCGTAAGCTCATTTCCGAAACCGTGAAGATCCAACCTGAAAGATTACCGATCGATTCCCACTCTAGTTCTGCGCGCCATAACTACCGGGCTTCTATATCGACGTTATTCCCCTCAGTGATCTGTTGTCTGAATATTACATACCCCTCCCGATTGTACCTCTGTCCAATTGCCGGTCTGCCCTACGCACACTGTGCCACGTAGTAAGGAAGTGTTTGCTTTCTCCAACTCTAAAGAAGTTTCTTCTACAGGACCTTTCTTTGAAAAAGTTATTTCTTCCAGCCCTGACCTTTAAAAGCAACCCTGCTTTCCAACGCTTGCTCGCAAGGCTTAACCGCAAAAGTTTTAGTTCGAAAACTCCTCGGTCGACTGCCTTATAACATCAGTATACGATTCTCAACAATTATACTTTCAATTCATTTATTTGATTTATAACCTATCTAATAATCAACATTTTAATATTTCAAGTAGTATCCATTCTGTTCAATAGTCAATTAATGAGTACTACGCTCACCTAGTTTCCCCTGAATGACGTTCCCTGCTTAGTTATTTCTATCTACTCCAAAGTATAATAATTAAAATTATCTCTCAATTACTATCTATCTATCTTATCTTCATTTATTTCATTAGCATCTGCAAATGTCTTGATACCAACGTATCATTATCACGCGCACTAACTTAGTCTTCCCATTCTGGACGACAGCAACTACTCTAGAATGATTACTCTGATTTTTGAAGTTTGTAGTTTCCGCAGGAAGTGACAGCTATAGACGTGTTTCAAGACTAAAATGAAAATGAGATAAGTTTGATAATGTATAACATAGTACGAGCTATACAATCGAAAATGTTGAATTCTTCTTTGTCTACGTATAACTGTTAGGCTTTGCGTAGATGATAAAGATTAAATAACATACATTTTCTATCTACATCACTAATTCATTAGGAACACGATATATAATGAAGCATAAATACCTTTTCCGTAAATAATTTCTTGGGGTATATTATCTTTTCAAATAAATTCATTCAAGGTTATTCCCCATGGTGATTTCCGGGAGGCAAAGGTGGCAGCCGCAAAACAGGCAGATCGTCGGGATTCTCGCCGTCGATGGTGCTTTCGGCGTAGATCGTGGTGCGCGCGACAACGAATAACCAGGAAGCGTAGTACTGCTCAGGATGATAAACCGTAGAACTCGTCGCAGAAACCACGGAGACTCTCAAGAAAAACCAAAGACGAGCACACCAGAGAGGTTCTCTAGCCGTCATGCGCGGTCAACAACCGTGCTCTCGCGGGCTATCCCTATTTAGCCCACTTATTACGCGGCGTACAACAAAACGTTAATTGTCCCGCGACGTCCGCCTACCTATACCTACATATTGCGTGCCTACGCATGCGCGCGATCTCTCTCTCTCTCTCTTTCTCTCTCTCTTTCTCTCTCTCTTTCTTCAGCTGCAGCATTGTCTCTCTCATTCTTCGACTGCAGCGTTCTCTCTTTCATTCTTTGGGCTATTTCGGCCAGACTTGGCAAGCTATGGCGGCTGAAAAAGAGGTACAGTATTAGGCACATGAAAAATAGTGCGCCCAATATTAACCACTGCGCCTGGCCGAGGACAGAGGGGAGAAGGAGAGGGACTAGCGAGAAGCAGGCTACTGCTTGCTCTCGTCACAGTTTATTTTATTTCATTACAATTGAAAAATCAATTTCCATAATTATCTCTTTAAAATGATTTAATCGGTAACTTAAAATCTATCTTGGTTGCTATATGCCTTACAAAAAGAATAATATGAATAAAAAAACTAAACGGTTAATGAATTAGCAGCTTGGAGTTTTATATTCGGCAGCAAAAGTTTCCGGAGCAAACTGATTTCCCAATCTGTCTATTACTAGAGAATAAGGAGAAGAAGAAAAGTACTTGGCCGCACCCTCATCCAGCTGAATACACATTTTGTGCGGTCGAGATTTCTTCCTTCGGTAGCAAGGGCCAAAGCAGAACGGAAGTGAAAAGGAGAACGCGGACGGGCGCGAGCGCGCGTTAAAAGGTTTACCAGCGAGCAACCGACTATCTCGCAGCGGTTTTCTCTTTCGATGGTTGCAAAGATCTTATCGGATTTTCCCCACATTGCTACCTCGCCCTGTCGTTTTATAGCTTGCATTTTCCGTCGCGAGCTTTCTTTTCTTTTCTTTTTATTTTAAATATATGGGTAAGGATGTCGAAAATGAAAATATTTTTTCAGTACAACACTGAAATTTTTAGTAACAAACAAAGAATGTGAAGATTTTTCAAAGTTTATTTGGTTTTATAGAAATAATGTTATTTTGACGTCACTAAGAACGATAAAACTGTATCAATGTTAATAAAAAAAAATGCATTTCGAACGTGAGTTATTTCTCAATATTCAAAAATAGAAGGTCGAACAAAAGAACTTGATAAATACGCAGCGTGAAAGAAAAAAAGAAAAAGATGAGAAACGCCAGCTACGTGTATCACATCGCGTCAGAGCGTAAATATTTCGCATGCAGAGTCCAAAGTCCCATATTTTCTTAGACACACCGATACACAAACACAAATACATCTACACCTACATACGTAAGCTTTTCTCTCACGAACGACCGCAATGCCCGGAATGTTTAATACCGGCACAACGACACGGCACTGAGTAATGGGTCGCCTCATCCCCGGAATAAATCTTACGGGTATACACGTATACACACACGGAAGTCGCATCGCTAAAAATCGTCCTGGCAAAAGGAGGATTTGCTCTCCTCGCTACTTTTTGACCGATCGACTGACGCCCCCCATTAGAGTCCGCTTACGAGCGCTATATTTTGGATATTAGTTTAAAGTCGCTTGTTGGGTAATGTTTCAAGTGTGATAATGGAAATGAGATTATATTTGAGAATGGATCTCGTCAAGGCATATAGCAATTGACTATTTCACTGATTAGCGTCATTAACTTGAGAATGGTACGGGATGTCTGACTAAAATAAGAGTAATACTACTGGAAATTTTCTCAACGACTGCTCGAATACTCTTAGAATAAGAGTTTCATTTGTAGAGGCCTGCATTCCATTGCTCACTTAGAAAGTAGTTAAATAATATCATTAAACTGAATGATATTTCGCGCGAGTAATTTAATCAAAACATAACTGAAAACGCGTCCCCTCTCTCTTAATTAATTCCAATCGGAGTGGAAAGTAGCGCGAGTAAGCGAACAAAAGGTGAATCGATTAAAGTAAATGGCGCTCGTACCGCCCTGAGACAGAGAAGCCAGTTCACCGCAGTGGAATTATAAATTTCAACGAAAGAAAAGACGTGCGCGCATGGGGTGACAAACACGTCGGTTATTAAATCTGGAGAATCGTTTTAACTAAATGCGCGTAGTCGCTTTAATTAGAAGGAAAAATAGGTATTGCACAGGCAGAGAGAAGGAAAATCATAATTAACGGTCGACGATGTCGTACTTGGAAAACGAGAGCACGGGTTCCATTTCCATCTATTCTTCCTATATACAACCGCGAGTATACTGCGAAAAACCAATTAATTACTTTTACTGCTTGCGCGAGCACTCGTTCGGAAACTTCTCTTCTTCTCTTTTTAACGCGGCTACAGGATTTATTCTAGTTCCCCAACTGAAGTTTTAGGCAGATGCGACGTGAAAAGTGTTTTACTCGGCACTTTTGTTTTCAATTTTTTATTTCTACTTTTGCTTGGCCATTAAAATTTATCGCGCTTGCAAACTTTTTGGAGATTGCTGATTAATTTGAAGAGCCAAGCGACATGGTGGCTGAAAAATTCACTCCGTTTCACGTAATCGCTTAAAAAGGCTCGACAGGTATTTTTATCATTGAAGTCGATTATTTTTGCTAAGCTCGTATGTATTCCATAAAAAATTATTACGATGCATAACAATAATGTTTTCTATATGACAAAAATGGAACTTTAATATAAAATGAAAAAAATGAATATCGCAAGAGAAAAATTACGACTAACCTGCAAAAATAAATCTAACAAACTGCTCTTACCTTCGTAATTTACACAAGCGATCGCTGCTCCATTACATTGCGCTTCGAACTGACAGATTTAAAAGGCGCTGTACGAAATTCGCTGTTCGGTGTCATTTTTTTTCGCGAGCGAAGCCATCTTTCTTTCACCCGCTGTTATTTTATCCCAGTGGGAAAGAAAAAAATTACCACAAGCCAAATGAGCTTTTCTTTGCATCTACACTTTGAAAAATACGTTAACAACGAATGCCAAACCGTAGATAAACATTGACGATGGCAAGTTAATTACAACAGAATTTTTTTTAGATATTTGAATTTTATATTTTTTCACTGAATCATAATTTTCAAAGTTAATTAATAATTGAACTGAATATCTGATTGATTAAATATTTGAGATTTATGTAGAAATTCAATTGTTAATACTTATTATATAATTTGATGACCATAAAAAATGTAATCTTCGTTAATGGAGAAACATTTACAATTTATTAAATTATACATCTTTTGATTGCTACAATAATGAGTCCCTTCTAAATCTATCGAACACATCAAACAATGATTTAAAACAAACTTATTATTTTATAGGATAGACCTGTTCCCGATAATCAATGTATGTAACAGCATTGCAAGAAACCCTCGTAACTCGCTCTACGATACTGACCGTAAACTTAGACTTGCACTCCGCTACACCTACTAAATGTAGCGGTGCTTTTGGTTTAACTTTCTTTCCTTTTTTCTTGGGAATCTTGTCATAAGGATCAGAAAAATATTTTGGGAATGGATAAAAACATCCAGAATTACGACCGAAAGGTGCTCGTGGAAAAGTCAGATGGAATTGTATCCGTGTCTGTTTCTTCACGCGTGGAAGTGGTGGTTTCTTATGTGATGGGGGCATATGTACGAGCGCGTACGGATTCTCGTTGAAGTAGGGTCGAGGGACAAATGTGGTTACAAATACTTTTGGTCGTAAACCTTCTTGTTCAGAATCTACAGTTAATATTAAAATAATGTTTTGACTATAGTCGAATACAGTTATTGTAAGACTCTATAAAGTACCTTTAGGCATTATTTTTTCGATATCGTAAGGTTCGTAGTCTTTGTACATTTTGACGTATTTATTAATACAATAATTAGCGTATCCTGGACCACCGAATGGAGCTGGACTCGTTTTGAAATTCAGTGGTTTTGGTTCAACTGGTGGTTCGGGCTTAGTTTCGGGGCTAAAATGTTTGAATTGCTTTCCTATGCAACCATACCAATCGCCTGGTGTTGAGTGTTTCTTTGGGTAACCAGGTGTCATTATTATAGGTTTATTTACGTCTTTCTGTAAAATACACAATCATAAATATCAATATCGCAATTCAAATTACTTTCATTTGAAACAACCGACAGAAACTCAATCTGCACGAGGAACGCTTACAAACGCATTCACGTCCCATTTTGGTGTCTCTCGAAATTCTTCCCTCTAGCTACAATCAAAAAGCTGTCATATACTCTGGCAAAACGGATGAATTCTCGTACGCAAATATCGAATAAATGGAACTCATGAAAACTGACTACATGCGCACGAATGTTCGCGACGCTTGTGAAGCAAAGTGTCTCTCTATCTCTCTCTGTCTGCTTTCTCTCTCTCTCTCTCTCTCTCTCTCTCTCTCTCTCTCTCCCTCTATACATATATATACACGCACACACATATATACATATATATATACGTTGTACCTCCTCATCTTTTTCGCCTTGCTTTGATGGTGGTAGTGGTGGGATATCGTCCTTGTCGGCTTCACCAATGAAGAGTCGTTTGAACTGTCGGTCAAATAGTCCACCGACTCGTTTGCATGACATCTGCTTACCAGTGGCATTGCTTTCACGCAAACCACCGCCCGATGGTTTGTTACGGTAACCGTCCCAAGGTCCTGGTGGTGCGTCATCAAAGAAACCTCGAGTACACAAAGAAATTTGTTCATTTCTTTCTTTTTGCAGGAGATGAATAAGTCTGTACTGGATTTTATATCATCTTCATAACTTTAAAAATATTTATCTATTTGGCAACATGAGGGAATAAACTGATAATATTTTAACAGTCTAATTTATGTTTGAACCAGTTTGTAGACGTTAAAGTATGTTTTTGTTCTACTGCTTCACCTAACAAATGTTGAGGTTTTATATTAGAATGAACTAAACGTTGTTATTTAAAAAATAAATTTATAGAACACCAGTTTATTTTTTTCATCGTATATATTCATCACTGAAATCTCCAATAGTATTATTTTATAATATTTACTACTTTATTATATTCTGACTAAATTATTATGGATTTCAAAAAAATTGTATACTATCTGAAAATATTTTGTTTCGAGGAACGGAAAATATTGAGAAATCAAAAGATTTTACAATATTTTCCTTTCCTTAGCATTAAGAAATCAGATTACTTCCGAGCTTAACATTATTATAAAAAGCTGACTGCGTAATGATTTACTATGAGTTAAATAAACTGTTACTTTAATGAAAATCCAGACGATTATAACGACTTATAAATTCGTTAGATTTTTTATTAAAAATGAAGGAATGCTTAATGTTTTGATTTGTTAATGAGATTATACATATATTATGAAGGCAAAGTATTGGCAATAAAAATTTTAAATAATCAATAAAATTTTTATATATTTCTATAGAATTGTTAGTTATTATTCCATGTTCTGTTTGGGAGTTTCTAAATATTTTGTAATTTTATGTAGCATTAAAAGTTATTTTGTAAAAATTATAGAAATTCATTATCAATCGACTGCAGAATTTATCCAAAGAACAGTAACTGATCCGAAAGATAAAATTATTAATGGAAAATTGAGCAACTATAATAAAATTCGTATTTCTATAAGATGAAGTTCATTTGGTTATGTTTGCAAATAATAAACATTAATAATGATGAACTCAAATAAAGTGCTTTGTGACATCGAACGAATAATGATCGCAAGAAAAAAACAGTAATTGTATCAGTGTTATTATTCAAGACAGCAAGGAGAGACATTATTTCCTCTTATTGATTTTAGCACAAACGCTTCTCCACAGAGGTTATGGAAGCATCTTGTTTGGATATATACCAACTCGATCGAGGTCCAGCCGGCCGAAGTGTTTGCCGTATTCTTCCTCTTCGATATCCGGATCATTCGCCATCTCGCCGTATTTCTCACCCCAACGCGGATTCTAAATTTTTTTTTCTATATCGATTTTCAACATTGCACTGTAAATTTTAATGTCATCAAACTATTCTAACCTACTAACTATTTATATTTTGACAACTTTTAGCTTTTTTGCCTAATTTGTAAATATAGTTGCAATCGAAAATTGATTGCTAAAAGTGCACAAAAATTAAAATATATTTAGAACAAACGTAAAGGTTTGTTAAAACATAAACATAAATGTATCCCTAAATAAATTTTTTTGTGATATTTTGACATTTCCAATAGTAAAAAAATTTCAATTTAAAGACATCACAAAGGAAACTGCTGACTCTAGATACTCCACGACGGAACAAAAATCACGTTACTTTGGTTTAACATATGACGACGTTACTGACATTCCATTACCCGTCAACATTAAAACTAGATTAGATAATCATAATTATATGATATTATGATTTAATCAGCGTACATGGAAGGAACGAGCTTACTGTATCAAGGGTATTGTCAATTTTTTATGAGATTAGAAATTTAATACGATTATACCGAGTAATTGATTAACATAAATTTTATGTATTTTATTTAAGATAGATCTAAATTTAATGAAATTTATCAAGTTATTTTTGGTTCATATTATTATTAAAAATTGACAATATTTCATGAATTATCAAACACATTAATGTTAACAACAGAAAACTGCTTTTTACTCAGACAAGATTATATTCGATTATCCGCCAGTTATTCTTGCGCACGTTCTTTTATTTGCAAAGTATATTATTCGCAAACTCACCACATACTCAGGCACATGATTCGTGGAACATATAAGCGCGAGTTCATGCCAGTTAGTAGTGGTGGTATAAGTTCGCATTGCACTTTGTCTATGATAATGTTGCTTCATATAAAGGTTCGATTGGCTCTTTACCCGAGTGTTAAGATAAGAACCTCGAGGCGATATCGCCTCGTATTCTACTTTGAAAATAGCCTCTGGTATACCATTTTCCCTGCTACTCCCCTGCGTGCTCATGTATCTGCGACTGTAATTTAATAGAGATAAAATTGGAAGATATATTGCTTTCACGCATAAGCTTAGTCGATTCTTGAATTGTAATTAAGAAAAACAAATCACAAATGAAAGAGCTAGCACAAGGTAAGTAAATAACCCAAAAGTGCAAATAAAATTAGCTCGCTCGAATAAACGGTCAGTTGTGTGGTTGTTTGACAATCACGCGAGCGACAAGCGATTGTGATTAGTCGAGAGAGAGAGAGAGAGAGAGAGAGAGAGCGATAGCAATTGCCCTTTGGGTGGTAGTAGAGAGGTAGCCAGAGTGAGCGTTTAATTTGCAAATGGCTAGCAGAGAGCTGCCACCATCCTCACTGAAGTGGGGCTGAAAGAGAGAGGGAAAGACACTTGGTATTTGTCTCGCCTCTATAATTCTCGCTAAAGCCATACGCTACAAACTGCGATGCTATCCAGACATTGTGGCTTTCGACCCCCTCTGAAAAATTGTACCGTTAAGAACGGAGACACTATCGATGTAGGTTGATGGTCTCTTTGGCGTTTGTAATTTATTGAATGCTCGCACCTAACAGCGATTGTCACCTAACACGGAAGTCAAATCTTTTTTCTTTCTCTGAATGCATTATTAATGGACTAATGATTTCAGAAACTGCAGGCAACGTTATTTAACTTACTTTTTTAAGATAACACCTACTGATCAGACTAGAACTTAACATTGTTCAAAATATATTTTGTATTTAATACGAAATTTTTACAAAATACACTATACACATCCTATTACTGTAGCATTTCCTCTCCTTCACCTTTTCCACTCGTTTCTCGTAAAATAGAATCGTAAAAAGTTCACTTGTCTTCCGATTCTGGAATGAAGAAAAACACGGAAGAAGAATGAGATTCTGAATGCACCTTCCATCATCCGCCGATGTAGAAAGAAAAAGCGTAATAGAGAGCTTCAATCTAGCAAATTTCGAGAGATAGTGAGGAAGAGAGAATTGTTGAGTAGTAAGGGATCAAAAGTGTAAGCGAAACACAGCTTCTAGTCAAAGTTTATTCAGGTCGTATTTGCGAGTGAGCAAGAGAGAGAGAGAGAGGCACATACAGGTGAGCAACGGAAAAGAGAGAGGCAGCCTATTGTCAAGCGTAGGTCAACATGCGTCGACAGCGAACGTCCATTACTTCATCAAGCAGTGTGTACGACATCACGCGCACGCGTCCTTTGACGAGTAGCTGCAGTAGTAGTCGTAGAGCTCTTGGCCCTCACGATTTCGCACAAATGATACGTACGCATGTACTCTATCTGTCTGTCTGTCTGTCTGTCTCTCTCTCTCTCTCTCTCTCTCTCTCTCTCTCTCTCGGTCCCTTTAGTGCAATGTTGAAACGTTTGTATCGCTGAGTTTGCTTCGTCACTCTGCGATGAATTGGGCTCTGTCGTTTTTATTCGAGTGTGTTGTGCGTCGTATGGGTATCTATATGCTGGACCCATGCGCATAAATACTACATAAGTGTTAGCTCTTTTTTCTATCGCCGACTCACCGTGAATTTTAGGATATTTCTTCTAGAGAAATTCTTGGTAATGGCAGAGTAGTAATTAGCAAATAAGTATTTTTCTGGGACATTTTTCCCGGAATGAATATATGTGTGTATGTATGTGTGTGTGTGTGTGTGTACGTGTTGTTTTTCTTTGCTACTTCGCTGATAATTCAACTCACATACAACCTTCTAGCAGATATTTTCATGCGAAATATATGAAAACCATATCACCGAGCTAGTACCTTTCTCTAATACTATGCAAAATATTTATTTTTGAAACTCGCGCTCGTTGAAATATATATTATCACTCGTAGTAGTAGATAATATTTTTTGCAACGACTACCTGTATTTAAAAACGTGCGAAAACAAAAGAATACAGATCTTTGTACGAATAAAAATATACATGCGTGTTTTCTAAAAAGTTCTTTGTACTTTAGAAAATATTTCGAGAATGGGAAACGAGTAGGAAAAAGAAAAATTTTTCATTCAAGCAAATATTCAGATTTTTAATTACCGAGTGGCGAATATTAACAAACAAGTTTCTTTCTACACGGTTAGTATGTAGGTGTGATTAAATCGGCTCTCCGCGATTTAATAGACACGAGTACCCAGGGATTAATAATGCAAATTCCCTTTAGGGATGGGCGCCGATTTAATCGAGCTGCCGTAATAGCACACCATCGATAATTCTATAGTTCTGCGGCTTTCGCTTCTCTTTCTCGATTTATCGTATACCCTTTCCCTCCCCCTCACTGCCTCTCTGTATCTCATTTATATGCGCTTGGATTTCCTTGGTTGCAGGTGAATTTACCTAAAAATTGAAGATGAAAATAAGAATACGATCATAGTGAAATCAGTCTCCTGTTTTAATTGTCATCGTCATTTTCATTGTTACTGAATTGTGTAAAAACGTAAAATTAGAATTATATATATACAATTAATCTTGAAATAGCCATTTGCATAAAAATATATGAATTTAAAGGAAAATAAAAATATTAAAAATCTAATGAATTCAAACTAAACGAATTGTCTTAGCGAAAACTAGTAAGTACCTTCATAATTATAACAACCCAGATTGCACGGAGTTATAAGAAAGAATCTAATAACGGAAAGTACGATTCATTAAGCTAATTACGAGGAAAACAATTTCTTCTCGTCATACTATATCTGTCGGGGTAGTGTGTGCTTGCTTGGTTGCACTCGAGCGCTATTAGTAAATGCCCCCTACTCAGGTAAATTAAAGAAATTTACGCGACCGAATAAAAAGGATTTTTAGCGGCGCGCGCAAGGCTACGTAAATAAAAAAGTCTCTCGTAGCAAACATTGCAAAACTTTTTCGCGAGAAGGAAGCAAAAAATTCTTTTTCGGCATATACCGTTGAAGGAAAAAAAAATTTACGCGCACGGATTAGACATGGAAAAGGGATGGTTAAACAAAGGGACATAAGTTGTCCGCTACGGAAATTATGACGGACGAGATTTGCCCGTCGTGTTATACGCTCGCTTGCCTTTTTTTCTCTCTCTTTCCTTTTCTCTACGGTTACATGGCGCATGTCGCGCGCAGAGAAAGCGCGAATACACGGGAAGCAAAGAGAGGATTTTTTTGTATGAGTAAAAATCAACAAGGTACGACTAGGTAGAATTCGTTTGATGCTCATAAAAAAAGTTACGATAAAAGATTTTCAATTTACCGCTACCCGAAGTTCAGCCTTTTTAAAGAGTCGTCAAATATATCTAAAAATGTAGCATATTTAGAATAAGTATTTCTAGTTATATTTTTATCAGAAAATTTGCATATTATTACCAATTGATTATATATAACGAATATATATATATATATATATTTAAAAATATTTCTATTGTTTGCATCAGATCGTGATCAAGAATGGTAGTCGGAAATATTGCGTACTAAATAACTCAAACAGGAGAATCAAACGCTTCGTTCCATGTCTGCTCACCAGACTCTTTAGCATGCGGCTATCATGACTAGCAGACACTGCCACAAACGTCGACATGGCAACAAATACGCTCATTTAAATTTCGCTGATCATTTCGAATAAACCGAAAACGACTCACTCCGCCGACTCCACTCTTCTGACTCCTGGATCCTTTTCGTTCTGCCACTGCTAAAAAAGAGCACGTACCAGAATTTTTACTTTTCCACAAGCCATATTTTCCCAAGGGCCGTAGGTACGGCTTTTGCGGATCCTTTCATGTTGCTTTGTCGCACAAGGGCGCCTTGGCTTTTCCGCGCATTCTTTAACTTTTGTTCCTGTTGTCTCAATTTTTTCTTATTTTCCTTGAATAGCGGTTCGTAACATCTAATGTTTTCTTAGGTTATATCTTTTTTACTACACAGAATTTTTTTTCCTTTTTATTTAAAACTCTGCTACATTACGTAAAAAAATTATGAGCTTTTTATATATTTCTAGAATCTTGAATGGTTACTCTCCATTTCTCGCGTAAAATAGTAGAAGCAAATCTAGTGTACTATTTCAATCGTACATTATTGATCTAAAGTATGAATTTTTTTTTGTAAAGTTAGAATTCACACTTTTATTAGTGTCACAGTCAAAATTTATAATATTTATAATTTTGATCGTAGGAAATTACTTTTTTATATTTGAAAACACTAGAGACATCAGACGCGCTTCGCGAGCTTTCACCTTATTTTTCATTTCTTTTCATATTGATTAATATATTTAACGCAATACATATCTTTGTTCAAAGCTAGATTTTTCAAATTTGTTACAAAACACATATCACAGTAGGAAACTTGTATTAGTAAAACAGTTCCACGTATTCTAAGTTCATGAATTATCATATCCAAAACTGATATAAACAATCTCTATAGTTCTTTTCAATTATACGGGCCAAATTACTATTAAACGTTCATCATACTCTTTTAATAAAGATTGCGATATTGCAACATTTTTTTTAATCTTACACGTTCAAATATCAGATTATCAGAATAATTTCAAGCGTAATCATCTCGCGCTTTTACCAAACAATTTAATCGCTGCTAGTTTCATAAGCTTAATGTAAAAATAATAACATTGCAGCATATTTTATTATTTTCATTATCTTCAAAGTCCTCCGTATAAATTATGATAAAATGAATTTTTATTACTTAAATCTCAACTTGAAACCACTTTGACACGCATATTTGCTGCCATAACAGTATATCACGTGACTATATCTCAACAAATTAGATCACGAATAAAATGGTTCAATATGGCATCCATCACCTTTTAATAAGGGGATACCTTTTGTCTTGATAAACTCCATTGATTCGTGTCGACTGGTCTATTTTATTAACAATATTCTAAACCAAAATATCCAGTGGGAATCACAAAATAACTATTTTTGAATTCTGTGCGTACTATGAATTTTATTGTATGTTTTTTTTATCGATTGTTACAAACAGTAAACAGCAAATACTGACATTAAAGTGTGTGTGTGCGCGCGTGTGTGTATGTGTATTTTTTCACGCATTTCTCGTCTAGATTCATTCGATTTTACAATAAGCATTGACGCAATACATTTACACTTTCGACAGCTTATTTTCTTTATTTTGTTTGGTACAACAACTTTTACGAGCTGTTTTTTAATACCACGTAGGGTAAAATTACACTTGCTAAACTTACAACTGTAATTTGTTTATTAGTATCAATAATTATCGCTTACAGAGCTTCATTTTTTACTTGGTATTTTAATTTCATAAATATACAAGTATGTGAATGAATTTGTAGGAAACGTTATGAGGATGAGTTATATAATGAGATGATACGATTTATTGTTTACGTTAATGAAGTATAAAACTTGGAAATGATGGCTCTCTCATATTAAAAATAAAACAAATAACAGTATAGATTTTTCGTTGAATTCTTTTCTTTTTTTTTATTCTTGTTTCAAATGAAGGTGTGAGCGCAAAACAACGAACGTGGACAGTAAATGCCAGGCTTATCGTAAGAGGGCTATCGTATGATTTTATTTTGCTTTGGTTCTCGTTACGAAGAAAAATTTTTCAAGCGAAAAAGCGCCATTAACGAGTTCTAACGATCTTGCCGCGGTATGACCTAGATTGTCGCTTTGAATTTTATTGTAATTACGGAAACAGAATTTGTCAGGAATTAACATACAGTTGGATTTATTTGCATAAAATTCTTTCTAACTTTTCTAACTCTTATTGCACTGATAAATTCATCATTTCAACATTAATGTAATTTGAATGTATATTATACAATGGAGTTTTAAATCAAATTGACAAATTGTTGACTCTTCAAATACAAAATTAAGTTAGTGATATTTTTGAATTAAAATCCGTAATGCGGTGTACTTGAGTTAAAATACTATGCTGCAATATATAAAAAACCTTGAACGCGGAAGTTGTCTTTATTTCTTAAACTTGTCGTAACTTGCCTATGATTATTTTCTCCCCTTATTAAAGACCAAGTTGTAACAATCAAAACAATTCGTTAATAATATACGTCCTTTTTTGTTTAATAACATTCGTATTTCATAACAAAATCTTTACACTATCTCACTTACATGATTTTAATTTAGTAAATATAATTAAAAGTTCATATTTTTAAATGCAAACACAATTTTAACATATAATGTTTTGTTGTAAAACGAAATACATGTATTCTTATTTTTCTTCAGCCAAAAAATTATCATAATTGAAAATAAAAACTGGTGAACGAGCTGATAAATAAACAACATTTATTAAAAAAACAAATCTCACACATTTCTGACTTAAAAATCATATATCGAAATTATCAAACCTTATTTGTCCTAATTATCACGACGAACTAAATAACTCATCACTCGGCTAGCAAAAGCTGACATACAAACAATAATATTGATTTGGAAAATGCATCTTTGAAAATTGATATTAATGTATCTTATAAAATGTGCGAGTGACCTGTGAGCGTAAGTATAATAAATTGAAATGAATTTGAGTGAGATATATATAGCGTGAGGAGCACGCTTGGCCGAATGTCAATCACATCAGACACGCGCACACCGAGTTTCACTCTCTCGTTTCTACAAATGTTTTCCTTACTCGCACTACTACTCGACAAAGACTTGGCGAGTAATTGTTATCGCGTGACATATGCAAGCAGTTGCTGTTTGAGTGAGATTTAATTTATTCATAATTGATGAAAACGGTTATTCATCATAGATTTCATTTGTGAAAAAAAATAACGTGTATTCCCGGTAAATACAGCTTTACGTAATCGAACGAATACAGATGGTAAATGTGCATACATTTGTGACGTACAGCATAGAAAAAAAGTATGCAAGCGTAGCTTCCCTTTCCCATTTAACAAAAAGAGCATTTTCTTCTGCTCTCTCACTTGCCTCGCAAGATGAAAAATATCACACTTCACGAAGAAGAAAACTTGGTAACGAATCGTCGCATCATATATATATATATATATATATATATATATATATATATATATATATATATATATTATATACGTGTGTGTATGTGTGTGTATGTTAGAAAAAAATCCAAGAGTAAGAGAAATATTTTCCAACGACGCAATTCACTCTCTCACTATATATATGTATACCGCGCATTATATACATTTACAAGACTTGGCGCGTCATGTCAGTTTATGCGTTACATCAGGTATTTTTTTTATATTTACAAGAATATTTATATTCTTATAGTCTACGTTAAGATTCAAAATGTATGAGTGTGTGAGTGTATTCTTATTTGTTAACGTATCGCTTACAAAAACATCTTTATCCGTTTAAAATTGTATGACGAAATCATCAAACGTACCCTCGCGATTTATCTTTTTCTCTGTCTCTACCTTTTCCTAAAAGTAATAGGAGAGAAACCAAAAATCGACTTCTCTCAATGAATTAACGTCAGATGCGGTTCATTCAGGCCTCGTGGTCACCTCAGAACTGATGTGAGGGTCAAAAGAGCTGTGAGAAGGAAGGTTGACCTTAAACCCTGACTCGCTCCGTGTTGCATTGCTGCTGGGTTTTCACCTGTAACAAGAAACGAAATAACTTTTCAGATCAAAATGACATGACTGGTAGTTAAAAATTTCTTTTGATTAGTTCAAAAAACCGAAAGAATTCGGAGAAACTTAATTTTTCTAATTTTCTGCTTATTAGCGATGAAAGAAGTTTCAATCAACTGTGATTGCAGTAACATTAATTATATTTTATCATTGCTGTTGCCAGCTAGACAATTGAAATATTGCGAAATTGAAATCGATATTTCGTAAATGTGTTAAATTGGCAAGAGTTCAAAACACTCGCTAGTGTCAGTGCTGTAAAGTCAAGTTGGCATGCATGAAATTTGAATAGAAACTCTTAACCATTCATCAGAATACATTACTTCTTATTCCGGATAAGTTATTACATCGTATTTGTGTATTACAGGTTGAATAAGAAGTTTGATCATTTTTTAATAAAAGGTATGGAAATTTTTGTTGTATTATTTACGTAAAGCTCAACTAATATCTTGAATTCAGATATAAATAGTGTTTTTCTTGCAAACACATGCGTAAACTAACTTTATTAAACGCATGTAATCCTTACAGAAATCAAACTCATAAGAAAAGTTTCACATGAAATCTATAGTTTTTTATTAATTGTTCTTTTATTCTAATTGATATATTATTCATAAAAAAAATCTATAAAAACATTAATGCAGCCTGTTGTATATCAACGTAAGTATGATTATTCAGGTCAAAAATTGCAAATAATCTATTAAATATAATTAAACGCGATTCAGATTTGATTCAAAACAATAGAATAATGCATCATGCTACTAGAGAGTACAATAGAGTACAGTACAGTATACGTTTCACGAAGCGCGCGTTTACCTACTCGTACCTATACTCCCGTGTTGCGTATACTCATTTTCGCATATCCTTGTAAAGGGATGATGTTGCGCTATCAGCAATAATTCTGATACAACCACATTAACTGTTTAAAAGTAAAATACATCGCGCTTGCACGAGGTGCTTAACTCTGAGACTGTTTATACGGTTCTGTACCCCTTTGCTAGAAGGGCGCATAATCATTACTTTACACAGTATGGAGAAAACATGCAAATCAATGTTAATAATTAAAAATATAAATTGAGTACAATTGATTAGAAAGACAATAATCATAGAAATAGTAAACACAAAAAAATAATATATCACTCAATAAAAATATGCTCAAAAATTAATTGATAAATTATTATCGATTATTATTGATTGACAACTAAAATAATTTATATAATTCAGTTTATATAAACCAAAAGTATTTTACAAATTGCTGGAGTCTACTTTGCGAAAACACTTAGTATCAGTGTATGTATAAATCTATAAACGACTAGTTTTGATGACGGCCTAAAGCTTTCTGACTGACATCTACCGAGCGAATCGAATTATTATAGTACATTTTTTAACAGGTGCAGAAAGACTATCTTGATAAAAGGAAAGATTTACGGCGCAAGTTTCGTTAAAAGAGCTTCTCGCATAAGCTAAGGACAGTACTTTTTCACGTGAGAACCGAAAACAAACGCCGAAGGTACGATTTGGAGGTTATGATGTGGAAAACCTTTTTTCTTCCTCCCACCCACCTCTCTTTCTCTAGCTTTCCTTAATTGTTTGTTGAGATAAAGACCTAGTTTCTATACCGCACTACTCCAATTTACAATTAGTCAAAATTGATTTAAATGATTTCCCTGCTCAGTTTTCAGCCTCAAAAATTAGGTTTCTGATCTGTAAATACATACACCGAACTACATGGATTTTATTGATACACATGCACGAATAGCGAGTTATATTAGCAAGAGGAATGATATCATCTTAATGATTCCCTTACATTTGATAATTATAATAAATTAGTTTTATAGGAATATGTGATGTTTGAGTGATTCTCTATTTTGAGTTTGCCACAAGGTATGACTGAGGGATTCTGCATTTAAATTGTCTCTGATCTCTTTATTATTTGTATCAACTTTATAAAAAAATTGACTCGTATAAGAGATACTCGTATACAGCATTCAGAGAATTCGCGTACGTTTGTACATTACATTGATCCTTTTTTGCGTATGATATTTCATAATTCCTATAAAATTGTGTGTAACCAACACGAATCAATATTTCAAAAAGTAATTCACTAAAGCTATCCGGTAGAAGGTTCCAACAAGCATACCCACCCAGACCAAGTTATCATGTAGCTATATAGGTCAGCTTCGGGTTTCTCTCGACGAGGCTTAAATTTAAACGGTTACGCTCATTGTCGGTCTTCTTGCACCCATATGAGTATAATGGAGTAGATTTAGTGAGAGGCTTTGGCTAGGAAATTCTAGTTTTATACTGCTTATTAAACTATGACTTGCCAGTAAACCATTTTATTAATAGCTTAGTTCGGAGAGGACTTTAGCTGAAAGATTAAATTTTATATGTGGGATATCGAGAACTTGACGATTTGAATTAAGAGGTTGGATAATATGATATTTCTGGATATTGATTTCACATCGAGAAGGATTTTAAGACCCTACTTTGAATTGATCCCTAATAGCTCTGTTCTCTAACTTTCACACTTGACATTCCGTTCACAATAGAAATAAAAATTAAGCAAATAAATTGACTTATATAATAAAGTCTTAATGAAATTTTTAAATCAGAGCTTCGACGAAGGCGAAACAGAAAAAACAGAATAACAAACTTTGGTAACCCTAAGTTCTCATTTCTACTAAAGCAACTTGATCGAGGAAAATTTCGCGGGCGAGGAATCGCGTCAAGCGAATTTTCTAGTAGTCTTCGTGCAGCGCAAAGTCATCAGACCCTCTAATACACGTATAATCCGTTTTACACGCTGCCGAACGAATAAGTTCTGTGTATATCAGACTGTGTCGGAGGCGGAGGGGAGGAGTTTCTTTACAAACTTTCGCGTTTATCCTCCTCCCCAAAAGTTCGCACGGTTCTACACTATATAAGGCTTGCTTTTCTTCCTTACGTGTTTTTGCGTCGCCGCCTCGTTTACTCTGTTTTCGTCCTGTCTCTTCCGCTTCTTGTTTTACAATCTCGCGTTATTTTTACACACGTTCGTTACTTTGGAGCGCGTTTGCTTTAGAATGAATGGATTTTTGTTACGCCGATGCGACGACGATTTGTAATAAAAGTGATACCGAAAATGAATTTTTGTAGAATGAAGCTAATTTGTTAAGATTAGTTTAAGGTTGCATTCAATGAGTAATACATTACGTTATTAATAATTGATAAATAAGCTTTCGAAAAATTGTTTTTCAAATAAAACAATAACAGATGGAATAGACAAAAATTACAAGGAGTTGTTTGTCAACTTTTATAGTTATTACGCCAACACAGAACAAACTTACAAGGAATAAAAAAAATCAGAGCTTGGATTCAATGTCTGCACTTACAGCGAACATTGAATCCAAAGAAGGCGCGAAAGCGATAACGTAGAAAGTCCAGCTTGCTACAATAGCGGGATGAAACAATATTTTCTTTAGTGCCATGGTCCAACACACACAGACGAGCAAAGGAATGAAGTAAGGGAGCAACGCAATGACCATTATTGCCGCGACGGTAAAGTTTTCCAAGCGCGCGTTTTTCAGCGGTGTTACTTTATCAATTTTACCGAGGTGCGCAGCAGCTGCAACGACGAACAAAACATACGATTTTTTAGTGATTTATAGCGTAAAATCTCTCCTTTTATACGTGTACAATAAAAAGAAGTATGAAAAGAAAAATATCAAGTTACAATGTGAAGGAATGTTTCTTATTGTATTTGGTATTCCTTGGTGTTATTAAGATATAAAAGCGAGTAATTTCACACTAAAAAAAATGTTATAATAAAATTTGCTACAATTGTAGTAATATTTACTATAAAACATAGTAAAACTAGGGCATACTCTAACTTTAGTAAAAATTTCTATATTACGACCAAAAATTGCTATGTTCTATAGTCATTTTTCTTACATTTATAATAATCTTTAAAATAGGTATAACAATAATTGTTACAAATATATTAAATTTTATTATGAACTCGAGTATGTACTAGTTTTACTATTTTTATAGTAAATTTTGTTAGATTATTTTTGTGCGTGCAATCATGTTTAAGAAAATGTTTACTGACTATACGCTCGATTCGAAATTTAATAAAACATATGCACTGTAAATTCTTCTTTAAAAGAATATTATTGTTTTCATAGTGTTTATTTAACTAATTATGTATTTAACAAATAAGCGTGATATTTATTTATTGTATTTATGGAATTGATTATCATAGCTGTGAAATGAACAACAACCAATCGCTCAATGTATAAATTTATCAATAATTTCGAATAACTTGATTAAAATGTGTGCAATAATTCGGCAGAGTAATCAGAGTAATTAACATAATATTCTACTAAATTAGACATGGATTCGAATGAACAAACAACATAAATGTACACAAACAATTTCCATTGATAAAAAAGAGCGCAATGATTAAAAAAAAAAATTGGAAACGCCGAATTTTAGTGGAATTCTGTAAAAGAAGAAATCATCAGCAAGTAAAAAAGATGTCACAGAAATCCTAGTACGGATTAATGAACAATCTTCGACATTCTGCTAAGTCCGCAATTAGACATAGCTCCGTTCCTCGTGGCTTATAGGACACTTATCATTCGATCTCGTGAGACGATTGCCCTCCCCCAATCGTATTTCCTTTTTTTTTTTCTGATTGAAACCGCGAACCCGTAATACCTTTGACCAATCGTTACATGCACGATCGCAAAGATAATCCCGATGATAGACCGATGGCCACGACAATTTTTATGACCACTATAAATCAACCGTGTACACACGCCAGACAAATTAAACCGAGACGATTGGATTTTCGCTAAGATGGGTAATTATAGGACGTGCTTTCATCGTCATCGTTAATCGTCTGGATGTACGCCCTCAACTTGAACTCTCGCGTACCCCAAAATCGCTCTTGCTTCGATGCGCAGTTTTGCTTGAAAGCATTTATAA